GTTTTGGATCCCAAACACCCAAGGGACGAACCCTAGAGAGAGAGAGCGACTTGGAGACATTCTTGGAGCTATTTTGGAGGATTTCTTCGCCATTGGAGCTCGGGAATCAAGCTTGGAGATGGAGATTGAAGATCTAGATCAGATTTCTGCAGTTTCTCTCTTCTCTATGGAGTAACTTCCCTTCACTTAGGTTTTGAGGAACCCTAGTTCCATGAGTTAGGATATTTCTTGTATGAAGTTTTGGATGCTTTATTGTTTGATTATAATCGATTGAGGCATGATTTATTGAGTCAATTGAATCTTGATCAAATTCTCTTGATTTCTGCTTTAACCTATGATAGATAGAATCTGATTAGGTTAAGAGAGCTTCCTTTGATTGATGGTGGTGAATTGGTTGTGCGAGAGTCAATCAATTTACTGCTTTGTACTGGAATTCATTCCAGTAGTGGAGATCTGTGTGAATCGCCTTAGCAGTCTATCCCGGTGAAGGCTAGTCGTCTGTCGGGTATTCTGTTTGAGAGGGCTTGGTCAGCTTAAGAGATTCCAAGCTAATTTCGGATCTTCCGCAGTTTAATCAACAGTAGAACAACCAAAGGTAATTGCAACTTGGACCTAATTGAGGAGCTAGGGGGAATCATACCTAAGTGAGTTCCCAACTTGTAATTAGTAGAGTAGTCAGTAGAGTAGTTTATCAATCAATCCTTAATCTAGTTTGCTAGATAATGAACTGAAGCTGAGTAATAGTAACTCTAGAGACCCGTGGATTCGATATTTATTACTTGTGCCACTATACTGCATTCCCTTTCATTGGTTACACTTGGCCATTGTTAGGTGTTGTGTTTTAGCGTGTCACTCATCCTAGTTGCGCTGGGTTCACCTAGGCCTATTTTTTTGAACAATTTGTATGGGATAACATTGATACTAGAACCTAGATCCGCCAGGGACCTCTCTACATGTAATTTGCCAATGGAGTACGAGATAGTAAAATTACCTGGATCCTTCTGCTTCTCTAGCAGCTTGCTCTGCAGAATGGCCAAGCACTCCTCGCTCAGCATCACTATCGAGAGATCCCCAAGTCGCTTTTTGCTGGTGAGGAGGTCCTTCATGAATTTGGTGTACTTGGGCATCTTCGACAGTGCCTCCACAACGGCAGGCTGATGTTGACCTACTTCAGCATTGCCATGAATTTGGCAAACTCAGTCTCCAGCTTGTCTTTGTGTAGTCGAGTGGGGAAGGGAAGCTGGGGGACATGCTCCTTAACCATTAGCAGTGGCTAGGGAGCAGGTGCTTCCTTCTCCATCCCTACTTCTGCATCGTCGGCTGGAAGTGCTGAAACAGGTAGTGGCTCCTCCTGCCTGGCCGAGGCAGGTACCACTGATGTTGTCCTGCCACTCCTGGTAGTGATGGCATTCAGCTGCTGGTGAGGCTCGCGAGGATAGGGGATGGTGGTGGCAGGAAGAGTTCCCGGTGCCCAGGTATTGTTCTGGCGAGCTATTCCTCCAATCTGATTCTAGAGGTCCTGCAATATGGCACCTTTGTTCCTCTGGCCTGCCTTTAGTGAGGTGATGCTCTGGTCCATCCTGGCAAAATTAGCCTGACTGGTAGTCATGAATGCCTGCAAAATGTTTTTCAGCTCCGTTATCTGATTATCTGGAGCTGGAACTGCTGGTGGCGGGGCATACTAGTGCTGCGGCTGTGGAAAACCAGGTGGATTAGTGGTGTTGCTGTTATTGCAATTCCAAGAGAAGTTGGGATGGCGCCACCCTTCATTATATGTTCTACTATAAGGATCAAGGCGTCGACATTGGCGATGAAGGCCAACTGCTCATGGGGTGTAGAAGACTCTCGCATAGCCTGGCAGTCTTCCACCAGATGGTTCAAACTCTCACACCACTGACATTGTGCAACTGAAGGCCCGACCAACCCTTTGCCTGGAATAAGACTGTTGGGCTCCTTCAATGTCTGGACCAACTCGGCCACCTCCCGCTCTAGCCTAGACCTAGCCTCCATGGCATGCACACCTCGGTCCCGCGAACTCCTGCTTCTAGTGCTCTGCCCCCAAGAATGATCCCTAACTGCCAGAGCACTGATCATTTGATTCAGCTCGGGTGGAGTCTTGGTGAGAATATCCCCTCATGGGCATAGAGACTCGATCACCCTCTGGCTCTTTGGGGTTAGAACGCTGTAGAAATTCCAAACTGTGAATGCATCACTGAAACCGTGATGGGGACATTGCCAGAAGAATCCCGAGTATCGCTCCCAGGCATCACGTAGTGACTCATCTGGCTCTTGGCGGAAATGAGTGATCTCCCGCTGAATCTCCGTGGTCTTCGAGGCCGGATAGTACCTGTGCACAAGAATGATGGACAGTGGAGGCTGGGTCTCTAACCACCTCTTCGCATGCCCAGCCAGAGAATGGGGGAAAAGGTGGAGACGGATCACATCATCGAGTACACCATTCATTTTGAACCCATTTGTCAGCTGTAGGAATCGGGAAAGGTGCACCCTCGCCTCTTCATCCTTCAAGCCATGGAACTGGATAGAGGATGTGATCAGTTGAATCCAGCATGGCTTGATCTCAAATTTATTTGCTGGGATGGGCGGATACAGGATGACGGGGCAGATGTCGGCGACCCTTGGAGTGTACTAGTACTCCATTGTAAGACCCGGCGGGGGTGGTGGATGCTGAGTCCCATCTGCCTAGGGAACTGGGTTGTTCCCCAGGATCTGATTCACTGGGGGGGACCTGCACGGGTATCCCTAGGGGTTGATTCTGTCCCTGGTTAAGGTTCCACCTGTTGTGCTCGTCGCCCATCTCGTATTCCTCTTCGGAGTCGCTTGCTCAGATGGCCGTCGACGTGCACTTCCTCCGTAGCCAGTCTTGCTCGCTGTTGTCTCCTTAGCTGGCGACAGGTGCATTCTAGCTCTGGATCTAATGGTAGTAAACCTCCCGACTGGCTACGAGTCATGCACTACCTGCACACAGCCAAACAAGCAAACTCGTGAAGGCACAAGTGGGACAAAGAAAACAGTCAATGCGGAAAAGAAATGCTAAAGTAACAGAAATCACGTTTCTTCAACAACCTAGCTGTCCCTGGCAGCAGTGCAATAAACTTGATACGCCTCTACCGTCACACTAGAAAGTGGCCAAATGTAACCACCTACTAATGCGTAGTATAGCGGGTTTAGTTCTAAATGTCAACCCGGGTCCTAGGTGTGATGACTACTCCGTGAAAATCTTATTATTTAGTGGTTCAAGTGTAGTGAAGGTCTAACTAAACTAGCAAGCAAAAGCAGTGAAAGTTGTGTTCAAAGTTGAGAGAGGTCACCCAGATATGGTTTCCCCTATGCTGCAGTTAAGCCAGGTTGTAATTCACCAAGTCAAGTTCAATAATAGTTATACAGCGGGAGGTTCTTAGACGGTCTGCACTCTCGACTAAAGGCCTCCAGACCCTCTCAATCTGAGTCCCCAGCGGGCGACAAACCTCCACCGGAGTAAACTTATTGAGGCCCTAATGAACTAAACCTCCTCTACCGGAGTAAATCCGGTAGAGAATAGTGAATTGACTCATCGACTAAAGTCGTCAATTCACTACCTTCAATCAAGGGTGCTCTATCAACCTAGGCATATATTCTCTACCTAGGTCAAAGCAAAAATAACAGGAATTTGATCAGGATTCATGTCATTCAGGAAATCAAACCTCAATGAATATAATCAATAGCAATGAATTCGTACTTGGTTCATAAAATCAGACCTAATATACAAATCTAGGGTTCTTCATACCTAGGTGAGTGAGAGAGCTTACTCCATAGAGAGAGAGAAGGGAAATCTAGCTCAAATGCGGAAAACATGCTCTGAAGGATGAGATTCTGCTTCTGGCAATCAATCGACACTTCTCCAAGGTTAAGCCGAGCTCCAATGGTGATGAAGAACGATCTAGGGCACTTGGAGATTCTGGTTCGTCGCTCTCTCTAGGTATCTGCCTTCTTTCTCTAAAACTTGGTCCCCTTGTAAAATTGGCCTTCTTTCCCTCAAAAGAGAGCAGATCGCGATCCCCTATCATAATACCCGGTCGGGTATTTCAGGTGCTCAGCCTGGTATTTTGAAACGCTGTGCAGTGGGGAAAGGGAAATACCCGATCGGGTATTTTAGCTATCAGGCCGGGACCCCTTTCTGTAATTCTGGTGTCCAAAACGTGTTATCCCCGGCCTCCTCTTGCATTTTACCCAGTCGGGTATTTTAACTCCTGACCGGATATTTTCTTCTTCCCGCGCCCCATCACTCCAGCGTCCTCCTTTTTGCCCCGAAACTCGTTTCCACGCCTCCATGTCCACGCCGAGTCTTGAAATATGACATTAACGCACAACCTAGCATGAAATCAACTTAAAACACGAGAATCGTCTCTCAAACGGCTCAAGAATGAAAGCACAAACATGTGCAATTAATGGTCTATCAATCATCATATGTTGTTACGAGACAACGACCTGAAGGAGGGGAAAGTGGTCGCAGGAATCTATCAGAATTGGGAGGCGCCCTTCTTTAATCTATTTCCTGGGCTTTTCACTTTCGGTATGTGTTTGCTCGCTAAACAAAACTATGCATAATTAGGGGATTATTATGAAGGGTTTTGGTAACTGGAAGGGTGACTAATTACACATAAGGACAACCCAAAAAGGAAAGAAAGAGGGAATATGGATTCCAATAAATTTGCTTTATTATTAAATTAAAATTCAACTGAAAGCTCCATTTAAGATGATAAAAAATAATTAATTAATTCATAATGAATTACTATTCATCCCGTGAAATTCATGGGCCCAGATCTCTCGAACTGCAACGGAAGCTACTGTCTGTCTGTTCAGTTCCTTGTTTCACATAACGTAAGCTTTAAAATCGTAAACCATAGTGAATGAATGAAGGAGTTACGATGACAAAGACCCGAATCAGGTCCAAACGAATCGAACTGAATCGAATCAAGGTTGACGAGAAGGTCATTGTCTCGATGACGGTGTCAATGACGAAATCGGTGACGGTGGAGGTCCAATGCAGGGTCGGATCGGGAAACAGAGTGGTCAAAGCGATGGCCGTGCCGGTTTCAGATTTCTTGGGCGGCCCGACCCCGGAGGATTACCTCCATTTTTTGAGCTACCGGTTGCGGGACCGGCGAGGGGTTAGGAATGGAATTGTCAATTTCTCGGTTAGAGTTATCGGCGGCGGTGGAGTTAATTGTTCCGCTGCGGCGAGGAAGGAGGTGGGGGCGGAGTCCTACGGCGGTTCTTCCACGTACTCTCCTTCATGGGAGCGCGTTCTTCGTCGTCGTTGGGATTTCAGGTGGAAGTGCCGATGGCTGGAAGTTTAGTTTTTATTTATTTTTAATGAATGTAATAATGAGGTGGAAAATATAAGAGTTTATTTTTTTTTTTAATAATTTTTTAGTTGCCACGTAACTAAGTTAACGGTCAACTTTTAGAGTTGACTGCCACATCAGCAAAAGTTAACGGAGTTGGACGGAGAGTGACCAAACATGAACGGTTTCAGTAAACCGAAGTACCACCAATGGATTTAAATATTTCGAGTGACCAAACTTGAACGTTTTTTATAATCTCAGTGACCAACCATGCAATTAACCCCAACCAAATATATTGGTTTCTTATAGTCACAGTTTCATACTCAACAACTGCAAACCATACTTATACATGTCATAACCGTCACTACTTATACAACCACACACATGTACACATATCATCAACTTTCCACATCTCACACTACATCATAAGTTAGTATGCACATGAAAAACGTTCTCAAATTTTTTCACAAAAATTGTGGATGACTGGCCAAAGTCACGAGTAGTCGTCCAAGCACAGAATAGTTGAAGAACATACATCATCTTGCCTTCAACTCTTGCTCAGCTCCCACCTATACACTTATCTACTGTTGCTGCTACTGATGATCTGCTTACCCATGACATAAGTAGAGGAAAAGGATAAAAGAGGGTCAGTTCATGGCTGAGTTAGACAATCATTGCATCGTGAGTTCATAACAAAGCATACCCCTATCATACGCTAGCAAACATGCCAAACACTAGGGTCGGAACTCAGGCATCCGAGATCCCAAAAGGCAAAAGACTGAACCACCTAACTTATGCATATGCATCTTACCGTATTTTATTTATAGGCGCCTAGCAACTATCATGCTAATAACTCCCCCGGTCAACCTACCCAACGTACCGTAGGATGTGGTCATACATACATAAGTACCACCATACCACCATAGGTGAGGCCATACCGACACCACTCTAGCTGTGGTCATATCTCATGTGTAATCTTCAATCACCACCACATGAGAGGCGTGACTATCATGCATTACATAATCTTCAGTCAGCACCACAAGAGAGGTGTGACTATCATACATATCATAATAGAGTAATATCATGGGGAGCCATAATTACTATGTAATTGACCACGAGACCAAAATACTTTTACTTGGTATCCTTATACATGATTAATATATCATCTTGCTTAATCTTGATTCATTACTTAGACATGTTCTTGACCTGATCACAATTAGCTCAACTAAGGTAAACTAGGAGTAGTAAAATTGTACTTCCTCGAGATAAACCCTCATGCAAGTCATCCTCCTTAAACTACATAAAATCATCTGGGGATGTATATTTCCCCACTTCTGAATCCAAATACAATAATCATGTGAACGTATATACGAGCACCTTCTCAAACCATCATAAGTAAATATCAACAGTTATCCCACACAAATGACAACATATATGCAATCCTCAATACAAACACGGTTCATAACAATTAAGGCAAGACAATAATAGCATATAGCAGTTCAGGGTTCATCATATAGCACAAAAGTCTGTACACTTCTAATCATGCAATTCTAGTTCACCTAGATCTATTCTAAGTATCATTATAATTATAGTGATACGATAAACCCGGTATGCTGTGCTAATCCCTCACCAATTCTGGTAGTTGAAACACCAGTTTCTGCCTCTCGTACTAGAACTTGGATTTTCACAAACGAACCCGAAATCAAAATTGGAAACCGTTGTAGTATACCCTGCAGTGTGCCCATCAATGTTAATACTAGACTCTGGGTTAAATTCTCGATAAAAACACATCAAACTCTAGCCAGAGCTGAATTCAGCGATTTCAACTCCGACCTAAATAATTGACGAAATTCATAGGTGAGAACTACAAAATTCATTACCACCACAGTTTAAAAACACATCAAGCTCGCGGGCGTCGGACCCCGTCCGCTCACCATCTTCGGACGGCGCCCGAAGCCCGCGAGCGGACGGCGCCCGACGCCCGCGAGCGAATGGGGTCCGACGCCGGCGTGCGGACGGGGTCCGACGCCGGCGTGCGGACGGGGTCCGACGCCGGCGTGCGGACGGGGTCCGACGCCGGCGTGCGGACGGGGGCGGACGCCGATAGCCGGCAGTGTTTTGTTTTTTTTTTTTTTAGTTTAAGACATATTATTAATTCTAGAGCTAATAATTTATATTTAATTTATTGCTTTTTATTCTATTTTACATAGTTAAATTCGTATGTAGTTTGAATTAAGCGATTGTATTTTGTTGTAGCGCTAATTAGTTTTTTATCGTCAAATTATCATTATTTTATAGAGTTAATTAAATTATTGCATTTATTTTAATTTTGTAGATTCAATTGAAGCACAATTAGTTTAATTAAGTTATTGTATTTTGTTGTAGCGCTAATTAGTTTATTGTGTTTAGATTTAATTCGTAGAGCTAAAGAAGTTTAATAATTTATATTTAAATAATTTTTTTATCGTCAAGTTATCATTATTTTTTAGAGCTAATTAAATTATTGCATTTAGTTTATTTTTTGTAGAATCTATTGAAGCACAATTAGTTTAATTAAGTGATTGTGTTTTGTTGTAGCGGTAATTAGTTTATTGTGTTTAGATTTAATTTATAGAGCTAATTTGGTTTAATAATTTATATTTAATTAAATTTCTTATCGTCAAATTATTGTTATTTTGTAGAGTTAATTAAATTATTGTATTTAGTTTAATTTTGTAGAGTTAATTGAAACACAGCTTTCCATCGCGCAAAAAGAGGGTTCCAAAGAAATACATTTGTACTCGTCTTCAATTTAAATAAATTGTAATGAACGTCTTCAATTTAAATAAATTATAATGAAGTTTGTTTACGTCACCTGAAAACATGATATAATAAAAACATCCGAAGTACAACATAAACCACATAAGTCATAATCAGATACAACAAATAACATAAGTCATAGCTAAAAACAACAAATAAGCAACTGATCACCACATAACAGAACAACAGAATAACACTCATACATATGACATAACAATCATACAACTACTGTGAAGGTGGTAGAAAACCCGACTTCCTCCTAAACTCGGGCCACATGTTCCCAACTCCATGACATAAGTCGTAGTACTCGTTAGCGCTAGCCATCCACTCCTCCCTACTATCCTGTGCAGCATCCATCACGGGAGATATCTCAATCCACATCTCGCGTGACAACTGTAAACAAAAACCATACAATTTAAATACATATTAGTTGCAATCAAACAAAATTTTACTTAATACAAATAATTTCAAAAACCATGCAATTTAAATACATCAGCAGTACCACTCTGGCCCTCATCAGGCTGTGGAGCTCTGTAGAAATGCCCCGCATGGTCTCTTTAGATCCCGGTAACAGCATGAACTCCAGTAACGACATGTGACGATCCGTTGGGGGCATCTCTGTCTCTGATCGGATTGACTGGTGGAATGCGATACTCAACAGCATCCGACTCATACTCCTCCGACTCGTCATCAATCTCATCTGAAGGCTCAAACGGCGAAACATGATCACGACTGGGACCAGCTCCACTACCAGCCATACTAGACAACTGAAAATCAAACTGAGGAAAACCGTCTGCTCTCAAACTCATAGGTGTCGCTAGTCTCTGTGGCTGTGGCTGTGGCTCATCTCTATCATTTGGGTCCCTATTTCTCACACTAGCGCTAATGGGGCGCCCAATGAATCTTCTCAAAGCTCCTCCAGAATTACCAAGTGACGCCATCTCTAAACATAGTCAATAATTTTCTATTAATATCTTATAATAAATTATTTGTTGAGCAATTACTTGTTTCATAGAGTAATTATGATACATACAATTTGTTATCTAATTAATTTAACTAGATAGTTATTTTACTTAATATGATAGATAGTTATTTAAATATTTATTTCAACTTACTCAATTACTTAGAATTTATTTAGTCCTATAATTATTTAGATAATTATTATAATAAATTATATATTAGCATAGTAAATAATTATTTATTAATCTCTTATAATAAATTATTTGATTAGAAATTTGTTCATAGTCATAATTTATCAGCTACTAATTATGATACATACAACTTGGTTATCTAATTAATTTAACTAAATAGTTACTTTACTCAATACGATAGATAATTATTTAAATAATTATTTCAACTTAACCAATTAATAAACTAACACATTATATAATTAAAAATTATATACTAATGATATAATTAACAATTATATACTAATTATTCAACTATCAATATTAAACTAATTAAGATACTAACAATTGTATTTAATTTAAACCAAATCAGAAACCCAACCAGACCGGTCTGACCAGACCGGGCGGGCGGGGTCTCACTAGAACGGGCGGACGGGTCCGACCAGACCTGGCGGACGAGGTCCGCCCCGGCGTGTCGGACGGCGGCGAGACCGAATTACAAAAAAAAACAAAAACTTACCTCGGCGGCGGCGGTTGCTTCTCCTGGGCGGCGGCTGCTTCTCTTGGGCGGTGGCAGCCGAGATCAGCAGAGGGAATGGGCGGCGGCAGCGACTTCTCCTGGCGCGGGGGGAGCTCGGCAGAGGGAGGTCCTGGCGGCGGCCGGCGGTGAGCAGCAGGGGTGGAAAGTGAATGCAGCAGAAGGGAGGGGTGGGATTTGGGGTGGTTAGGTTTAGCGTGTTTAAAATGAGGCAGTGACAAATTCGTCATGTTATATAACCACTAACCGAGCCCAAACTCATAATTTCTAATATTAAATAAACCATGAAATTGAATCTCAACCTCAATCTCATAAAATAATGTGTATTCGATAATAGAAAATATCAAAAAATAATATACGATTTTCGGTATATCCCAAATATCAATACCAAAATTCCAGTCATACAACCACTAACCGAGCGTACAGGTACTTTAGAAAATTAATTGGATAGTAGTGGGCGTATACTATAACTAAGAAAAGTCTTTGTATAATTTAATTCGATGATTGAATAATTAAGGAGATTTTGCGTTGTTTAATAGTATTGGAAGTCGGTCTCCTTTGCTTTCGTTTTCATGATGAATAACATGATTATTTCATTAAAACTTGAGTTTGTTGGATGGTTCAATACATAATAGTAGAATAATGTACGAACTGTTATTTATCAAGTTCATTATTGTTTACTACAAGTTGCCATCCATATATATCAGGTTGTATGAAGTGATACATTTAGGTCCTGTAACCATCATTATTGGTTTGGTTATTGGTTAAAACCGATAAACGTTTACCACCCCTATTCTTTTGTTTCGTTTTCATTAGGAATAATACCAAAAAATTCTTGAAATTCATCGATATTTTGGTAGGGATAAAATACACACTAGTTTATATATCGGTATTCATCAATATTTTGGTATATACCGACTCGAATCCCGTAATTCCTGATACCAAATAATACTTGAAATTCAATGTCAATCTCAATCTCACAAAATAATATGTGTATTTGATGATACAAATTAATATCGTCAAATTCGATACGAGATTTGGTATATCCAAATACCAATACAGAAATTCCATTCATACAACCCCAACTGAGCGTACAGGTACTTTTGAAAGTTAATTGGACATTAGTGGGCATATACTATGGAATAATTGAGGAGATTTGTCGTTGTTTAATCGTAAAGGAAGTCGGTCTTCTTATCTTTTGTTTGGTATTGATGAGGAATAATATGATTAATTCATTAAAAGGAGATGAAGTCTTTGTTTATCAGATCGATGGTTGGAATATAAAGAATGACGAGCTTAATTAACTGGGCTTACCTAGCTAATAGGAATTAAAAACAAAATTGCCAATCGAATATACAATGATAATAGGAAGGTGTTTATCAAAACTTGAGTTAGTTGTGTTGTGAGTCAGCTGGGTGTGAATGATTAAAGAATGACTAGCAGAGTGTGTAGTTGTGGTATTATTAATTCAAGTCATGGAGAATTATTATTCGATAAATGGAGTCTTTGTTTAATAATGATGATTATTATTATTATTATGATTATAATTGTATCGGACGGAGATCAAAGAGAAGCAAGCGCGTAGGGTTGACTTTGAGGGTATGTATAAATATAGCGATGATGTGGGGAGAAGGAACACAACACAACACAATCCTTTCTTTTCGATCAAATTCTCAGCAGTGCAGTGCTAGCGTTGTTGATCTTGATCCTTAAATAGTTCGTAATCCTCCCCAAGCCAAGAACATGCCTGTTCTAACCAAAACTTGCCGGATGGCATTGTCCGCTAACGAGGTGTGGGGAGCGATTTCTGCTGCCACAAATATGTACCCGGCCGCCATGCCCAACCTGATTGCAGGCATCCGAGTGACCAGCCGAGACGGTGTTACTGCCGGTTCGGTTCGGGAGATCACTTTTGGAACCGGTACGTAGCTAGCCGAGCAAGCAATATCATATGTTAATACTTAATATTACTCACCTTTTTAATTAATATATATAGCTGTTTTACTGGTAATTAATATGTAATAATTACATTGCATGACTTCGTATATATGTATGTTGCAGCCACAGCAGGTATGGTCAGCCAGGCCACCGAGCAGATTACCAGGGTCGACCATGCCACTCGAACCGTCGAATCCACCTTTAACAATGATAGGAACTTCGTGGGCAGGCACTTTCGTTCTGCCTCCCTGGTCGTAAAGGTGGATCCCAATAACGCCGACGATGGCCCCAACTCTCGAGGCTCCACAATCACCTGGACTTTGACCTACTCATGGATTTCGACTACTGCATCAGGCGGACTCAATTTGGACGTTTTCTGGAATGCTATAGAGCAGGGATTCAAGGATTTAGACACTTACATCTAGGCCCCGGCCCATAAAATCCTTCATCCATCATCCACTATGGCTATGCACCACGCTTTTTAATTTGCCTTTCCGTCTACTCTTTCTTTTTTATCCATCTCATGTTATATTTATGCACGTTGGTGTGCAGTGCTCAATAATGTTATGCCTGGCTGGATCACTCTTGCTCGATCTTATCTTCTTCTTCTATTTTCTTGTCCTGCTTGCTTCAGCTATCGTGTTATATATTATATTGTGCCTCTATGAGTGTCATAATTAATTTAATTTATGTGTACTAATTATATCCTTGCATTTTTGCTTCACATGCAATAATTAGATATTGTTAGCACGCAATAAACTATCGACAACACCCTAGTTGCTTAGAAGAAAATCAGACATGACAGTTCTATTTTATCTATCATCATTTGATTAATAGAGTGACGCTTCACATAACTAATTTATTTGTATTAATTATCTCCTTGCATTTTATTTTTTATGCAATAAATTATTAAATATTTCAATTAAAGGTTTTCGCACCATATCCACCCCCCTCTCAAAAAACGGACGGGGAGCGGATGACCATGACCAATTTTTTTCCCTACTTGAATTAGTTTTTTTAAGTTTGACTTCAAATTTTTTCACAGATAAATCAGATTAATTGTGCACCTCATAAAAATGATATCCACTTTGATATATTTTGGAATAAAAAAGATGAGACATTTAGTATCAGTCTATACCATGGTGGTAATGCTTGGTATTACATAAGATTATACTACGTGATATAGAAGTGTACCTCGGTGGTATGAACATACCATAGTATAAGATGTTTCCATACATGATTGTATGTGTAACACCCTGCCCTGTACCTATTACCTAATCAATTTGTTCAAACATTTGCAGCGAAATTTATCTTTGGTTTGTTACATTATTTCCCAAAATTTATCCAATTAAATTTCGGCATGAATTATTCGCTGATTCAGGCCTAATTGTACACTTTTTATCCTCGTTTTTCTTTGACGTTTGTTGAAATTGAGCTCCAAAAAGGGGTGGTTTTACACTAGGTTTCGTTTGTTTTAGTCAATATTGTCAAAACCGAACCGAAGCATGAACCGATATAGTTAGCGGTTCGCACTTTATTGGTTTAACCGGAATCAAACCGCTAAAAACTCGTTAAAGAACCGGTACCTTGTAATAAAATATTATAGGTACTAAACACATAAAAACACACCAAACCATGAATTCAAAATAAAACTCATTACTATTAAACAAATTTAAAACATGATTATTAAAGTTCCAAAGTTCAAACATCACATGAACCACAATGAGACAAAAGTCTAAGCATGAAACAATCACTACAAGGGAATGGGCCAAGCCCAGGGGTTCCTATAACCGCTTCAGCCTTTGACTTTTAAGGCTTTTGGCAGCAAATGAATACAAGGGTTTTATTAACCCCTTCAAGGCCCAATTATATTTTGTGTTTTCCCCTTTTTTGAATGAAAAAATTAATTATTGGAATAAAGTAAAATTTGTCGAGCAAAAAAGAGGGGAATAAAACAAGAGCTCAACGACGACAAGAGAGAGCGATTTGATCCTCCTCCTTCAGTCATTTTCTCCGGCGGCCGACCTTGAAGCCTTTTGTTGCTGCTCCATCTATCATCGACATCGCTAGTACCGCAATCTCGTAGTCTTCTTCTGGTATCTCTCAACTTAATTTCTAGCCTGGATTCCGACATTTGAAGATTCCGAGGTTTAATTTGATTTGTGGATTTCTCCAACAGCGGCGAGATTTGAATTGTCCGGTTTCCTGAGATTCGACTAGCGGCGACTTCTCCTCTTGCCAGAGATTTCGACGACCTTGAACTCCGGCGTGTAATCATTTCGGCAACCTTCGACTAGCGGCGACCTTTGACCAACATCGCTGCTGCATTCTCTCGATCATCCTCTGGTACTTTCTCTAACTTAATTTCGAGCCTTATTCAGTTATGGATTCCGATATTTGATTGATGTTGTGGATTTCTCGAAATGCAGAGTTGGAATTAGGGCGAAGTGGATAAGCGGCGAGATTCTTTTTTGTTATCGTTATCGATTTAGGGATTTCGTCGACTTGTGTGAGTCCCCTCTTCTCTTTCGATAATTCTCTGATGTTTTTAGCATATGAGCTCGGCAGTAGCTAGATGAGTTTGCAAACTACTTCGGCAATTTTAGGGACATCAAACTCATCAAACTGCAGCTGCAATCTATGTCCCTATGGTAGTTTAATTCAATGATATCCACGGTAACATCAAACTGCAGCTGCAAATTTGGAGGACCAACTGTACCTATCCATATATCCTGATCTGCATTTTCTTAAGTGTTGTTAAAATATGCATTGGGTGTGTTGTTCCCCTCAGTAGTTATATCAATCAAGAGAGGATTTCTACCGGTTTGGGTTTTTAGTTCATATAAATATGGTATGATTTAAACAGAATAAGAAAACTAGGACAAACAAGCTGTAGGCTGTAGTGTAGATATGTAGCAAAAGTTATGGACTCAAAGCAATGTCACCTGGTTTTAACAAGGAATTCGGTTCAAATTTTGTTGTAGGACTGATTCTATAGAATGAAACTCTTGTTACCTCTATCGATTTTAGCTTTTGTTTAAGATTTATGAAATGATCATTTGAAATGGGCAGGTGTTTGGGACTGAACTTTGCCAAGGTGATCGACTTCTTGGGTCGTCAACTTCATAGAGATACAGTGGTACCTTTCTTTACTGGTGTTCTTTGTAATGTAGTGTAGTCAGTTTATTATCGATTTACTGATAGGTTTCTCGACTTTTCTATTTGAAATGCAGTTGTGTGCTTTAAAGTTTTGGACACGTTATTTGCTAATCATCGTCGCTTGAATTACAAGGTAAGCTACTAATTTCAGGGGTTTCTTTAAATGTTTGTCTGAGTGATGCTATGTGTTGTTCCTAGCTATGTGAGTGCCTGCTTGTCTCCCATCAATTGCTACATGCTATTTTTACTATGAAACAAATCCCTCCCTTTTGAGGGCCAATTAACACTAAAGAACCCACCAACTTATAAGCTACATCACTAAACTCACCTACTTTTTATTCGATTTTTTGTCATCATATTTATTTTAATTTAACTTCTTTACCTTATGATTGCAATATTTGTAGAGACTAAGTCAGATAAACGCTGAAAATGCTAGCAACATGAAGACTCCACATACATGTGGAAGGATGAGCTTTGCGAGGTGGAGGGCTATAAGAGTATGTCTTTTACCTAACCTAATACGAGTTATTTGACTTTCTTGACAAACTTAATTGTGACATTTACAAATTGTGGTATTTTTATTCCTATGTTTATTAGGCTCAGCAAACTGGAAAAGAACCTGATAGGCTGGAAACTTTTGAGAATACTCATACAAGAAAGAATGGGACCTATGTGAATGAGTATACAGCAACCCTAATTGTAAGAGTTTCTTACTTTTTTACTTGATCATCCTCCTTTAAATTTTACTTGAACATACTTCATTTTCAGAATCCTTCTGCCTTACTGCTACTGATCTCTATTTTACTTTCAGGCGCTATTTTAGTTTCATTATGAACTATATTTGGCTTGTGAAGATATAACACTTGTTTTCTGTTAAAAATTCAGTAAAACTTAGCACTTGTGTGCGTTATGCTCTTTTTCACTATTGCTGTTCTTTTTGTTTTTCGGGTAGGACAGATTGTTCTAGTACTGTGCTTATGGTTTATGCTTGTTTGATTGATAAAGAAACTGCCAGCTGGTTTTTCTAGAGAGAAATTTAATATTTAGCTCATTTGAAATCAAGTTTCTAGAGTGGAAAAGATGTTACTCCTCTAACCAGAGATGTAGTAGGTTTAGCTCATCTATTTTCGCACTCGGTTATAGGGTTCTGCTGGTTCTAAATGCTACTGCATTATTTTGGAACTTCAACTTTTCATCTGTCTTCCTCTTCTTCTTTTCTATACTAATTATTTATTTGGTTCAAGTGATATAACTTTGCTGAATTTTGTGTAGGAAAAGGCGCATACTCTTCGACAGGAAGGGTCTGCTGATAATGAACAAATCTTTCAGAAGCTACTTGGTCCAGAGCATCCTGGGAGGGTTCGTTGTGCTGGCTTGGGACCAACCCCATCAACCTATTTTGGGCCTTCTTCTTCCTCAGCTTCAACAAGTTCTACCACGACATTGTGCTCTAATGAGGTAGTCGCTCTAGGTATTGAAGTGGTGGAACTGAGAAGTGAAGTGGTGGAACTGAAAAGTGAGGTGGTAGAACTGAAAACTGAAGTGGGTCGGTTGGGAAGTGGGATGGAACAGCTGCAAATGGAAGTAGACACATTGAAGGCATTTATCTTGCAACATCTTTGTAGGGAGAAGGGGCCAATTGAGGGTTCATTCCGTGCACCATCTTCATCAAGCCAGAGTGCTACACGGGGCTGACCAAACTAAGTAAATATACATAACTACATCTCTGTAAGTTCGATTGGTTCAAGTCATGTAGATTTTTTGCCTCATCAAGGTCTCTTCTCACACTCTGCCACCCTCATAAATACTGATATCTAGGGAACATCATCAACTTAATTGTTTTAACTCTGTTTTTAAAAGTCTGCTGCATAGCACGAATACAATACAAAGAGGTTACACTAGCACTGATTTTTGCTGTTATTGAATACCAATTCGGTATTGGAAGTAGGTGTGCTGATTTGTATCGAGCTTTTAATGGAAGTAGTTAGTAATAGAGAAGTACATCTGGGTGTCACAAATTGTTCCTCATTCAATTTACTTTATTTCCTTCCATTTATAACAGGCTTTCTCAGGCTAGCTTTGAGATTGATCGGTGGAAGGAGACAACAGCTCTAGCATATTGGATGCAAATTGCACTCTGGAAATTAGCATTTTGTGGCATGGGATAATGAGTAATGTACACTTTGAAGTACAAATAGATATGTCTTGAAAATTTGAAATGTTGTGGCAGATTGCAGGGTTGTTGACGTTTATTGAAAATTTGAAATGCTGCAGCAGGTTATAGTAATGGATATTTTAGTGACAATGCTAAAATTGGTCGCTAAAAATGGTTGCTAAAAGTTGTCACTAGAGGCTTGTAGGTGGTGATCTAAAAAGTGGGACTAGAGTGGCCTATAGCAGAGGTTTCACTACCGTCGCAAAAGCATCACCCACTGCTTCAAAATTTCAAATTTGAGAGGGGAAAAAAATACCAATAGCGACGGTTCAAAAACCTCCACAAAAACATTCACCAGCGGTTGGGCTAACCCTTGCCATAAACTAGCAGCGGTTAATGTTGCGACGATTTTGCTACGGTTACTAAAACCGCTGACGGGGTAGTTAGCAACAGTTTTTTCCGTCGCTAAAACTGAAAAAAACTCCTGATGTTTGTATTTTGTTTTGTAGTGAATAGTCAAATTTCTATATTTTTCCATTCTGAATCTAAAATCCAAAATTTAGAATTCTATCTGGAAATGTTAATATTATAGAAACAAATGTAATTTGTCTATATAATTAACCAAAATAAGAACTAAAAAAATAAAAATAATTCCAACGAGAGGTGCAGAGGGCTTTGGGCCTTGCATCAGCATCAAACCCTATCGGCCTATCCCATGAGAGATTGGATTTCTTTCCAAAAAAAAAAAAGAACTAATGCTAGCTAGCTAAAACGAATAGTTCGCAAACCAAAAAAACAGGTGGAAAGACTATTATCCAAGAAACGAGGAGACATAACAGCGTCTGAACATCGCCTTCTCCGAAGAACCGGCTGATCGGGTTGAACGGTTTTGACGGTTAACCGTTCGAACTGTTAACCAGCCGGGCAATCCAACCGTAGCTTTTTTTAAGTGTGTCGAGCCGGGCTGGTGGCCAAATCCCGCTTTTACCGGTCCAACCGACCAGTTTGACTCGGTTTTGACAATACTCGGTTCGATTCAGTTTTGGTCTCAACATTGAAATCACAGACTTGTTTCAATGTTCACGGCTGTGAACTGAGGTCTAAGACCTTGAACGGATCAACGCGTCCTTGAACTAAGATCGTGAACTGATCAACGCGTCCTTGAACTAGTACCATGAACTCATCAACGCGTCCTTAAACTAAGAATGTGAACTGATCAATGCGTCCTTGAACTGAGTGAATTGAGGTCTTAGACCGTGAACAGACCCCGATCTTGGTATACAAGGAGAAGGGAGTTAAAGGAGAAAGGAGAGCTTTTTCACGGCGTCAGCAAACCGCACATTATTTTATAGCGGCGGCAGCGACACGAGGGAAAGAGGCGGCAAGCACGATATCAGGGATCTAGCAATCTTGCCAGAAGGAAACGTGAGCTCCAGATCCGGGATCAACATGACACATGTTCCAGAAATCATCATAGTTCTTGGAAATATTAGCCCAAGTAGAACTTGCAAAACCACCACGAGCTCGGCTAGTCTACCAAGATGAGATATTATGTTTGTACTTGACTTCAATAAGCTATCTCCATCGGCTGCTTCTTTAATATGCATATCGCCATAGCCATTTAGATAGGAGCGCTTAATTGAAAGTGTAAAGATCAAATAGGTCGAGCCCTCCTTGGTCTTTAGAGGCTTTGCAAAGCTCCCATTTGATTAGAGGTGTTTTACGAGGTTCTTCGTTGCCGCTCCAGATAAAATTTCTCATAATCTTCTCCATATCATCAATCACAGATTTAGGGGCTCTAAAAAAGGAGAAGTAATGAACCGGCATACTAGACAGAACTGCTTTGCTAAGAATTAGGCGCCCTCCATAAGACAAGTATCTACTCTTCCACCCCTCGAGCTTCTTATGATATTTTTCAATAATGAGATTCCAAATGGAGGACGAGTTAGGTCTAGCTCCAAGAGGGAAGCTGAGATAGGTTGGCGGGTCTTTACTCCATTTGCAGCCAAAGATGGCTGCGAAGAAGATTGGTTCAGGAAGATCGCCAACAGTGTACATAACGCATTTGTCATTGTTGATCTTCAAACTGGTGACCACTTGAAAGAAAACAAGGGTGGCCAAGATATTGAGAACCTGCTCATGGGAGGCATCACAAAATATTAAAGTGTCGTCAGCAAACAGAATATGAGTGAACTCCCCACTGAAATCAGCTTCGTTCATAAAGAAGCCTTTGATCTTTCCATTGTCCTTGAGTTTGTTGATCATGAATGAAAGCACATCCATAACAAGTACAAAGAGACCAGATGAGAGGGGATCGCCTTGGCGCAATCCTTTATGAGCTGGGAAGAAACCATTAGCTTCACCATTAATAAGAATAGAGAGATAAGGAGAGCACATGGTAGCCTTAATCCAATCGATCCATTTGTGGGGAAAGCCCATCCTTGAAAGGATCGAAATGAGACAGCCCCAATTCACATTGTCAAACGCCTTTTCAATGTCGAGTTTAAACATCAATCCAGGCCGTCTGCTTCTTCACTGACTGTCAAGGAGCTTGTTAGCAATGAGACCAGCCTCGGAAATCTGCCTTCCTCTGACCGATGCTTGTTGGTGGCAACTGACAATTTTAGGGAGAATCCCAGCAAGACGACGTGACAACACTTTGCTGAAGAGTTTATTAATGCTATTCATCAAGCAGATCAGACGTATGTCTTTGATGTCTTCAACAGAGTCTCTCTTGGGGGCCAAGCATATAAAAGAATGTGTAACCCTTCTAGGAAGCAGCACATTGCTATGAAATTCATCAAAAGAATTCAGGATATAAGTTCTGATCCAATGCCAACATCTCTTGTAAAATTCAACTAAAGCAACCCAAATCTCCTATTCGGAGAAGGGCGATAATTGGCTGTTGTCTGGATTGCAGCCCATAGCTGCTACCCATTGACGTGGCAGCATATTATTGGCCCATGAAATGTTAATTAATTATTATACTTATTTGGAACAAAACGGGACGGAAACGGCTTCTTTTCTTGGACCGGACGGAGAAGCAGCCTAACAGTGTTGTCTCTTTACTCTTTAACTTTTATTCTATTATTATTATATTTGTGGTTTTGTTTTGTTAATTGATAAAAAAGGAGATCTAATAAAATTAAACACAGAGGTGCTTTAGGCTTTATTGCGTACTCATTATCAAACCATCACCGGCGGCATCTTGTCTTCAACGCCTGCAACTGGAAAACTGCCTACGATAACCATCTCTATTACTACTTCGAATGCCTTCGAGTTCGACGCTTGCTTTTTGAGATTCAGAGACCTCCAAATCAAGTCGAAAAGGTAAGATATGGATGCTAGGAGTTCATCTAAAACTAGTCTAATGAAATATGATGGTTTTGCTTTAATTAGAGCTGGCTTTGTTTTGCTGTACACAACCAACATATATAAAACGTGAAGTTGTTCTTTTTTTATATGCTACAAAGGCTTTAGTTCGTTAGGTTAATAGTAATTCAATTTATTATGTTTCTGTTTGTGTTATGCAGGTTAGTTAACTTAGTGAAACTTGGACTCCTTGTGAAGAGGAACACATATGAGTTCTAAACCAATTCCGGAAAAGGTTGAAGTGTCATGTATAGGTATGAAGTTCGATGGTGATGAAAGTGCTTATGAATTTTATAAAGCATATGCCCATAGCATTGGTTTCAGTGTAAGGAAGGACTATATAAAGCGAAATCAAGCAGGACAGGTGAAGAGAAGAATATTTTGCTCTTCTAAAGAAGGTGAAAAAGGTTTTGATAAAAGGCGTGAGCATGTGGCTTTTGAGCGGCCAATTTCAAGAATCGGATGTTTGGCACATATGACCTGCCAACTAAAAAATGTTGGCTTGCTAGAGGTTGTTTCTTTTGAAGGAGATCATAACCATGAACTTGCCCCCACTCCCATGAAGCACATGTTGAGATCCAACAGGAAGATAAGTTATGCTCATAAGGCTATTGCAGATGATGCTGAGAGAGCTGGATTACCAATCAAGGCAACTATTGATTTACTAGCAATACAGAATGGAGGCCGTGAAAACAACGGGTTTCTAGATTCGGACTATAGAAACTATATTGCGACACAAAGAAAGGCTACAATGATTAAGGGAGATGGTCCAGCAATTATGGATTATTTTCGTAAAGCACAATCAGAGGATCCATCATTTTTTTATTCGGTGCAACTCGATGATGATGATTTCATCATGAATATGTTCTGGGTTGATGGTAGGTCAATCATTGACTACAAATACTTTGGAGATGTTCTATGCTTTGACACCACTTATAGTACTAATGAATATGGTCGACCTTTTGCTCCATTTGTTGGAGTCAATCATCTGAAGCAGACAGTAATCTTTGGAGCAGCATTACTCTATGATGAAACAATCACTTCGTTCAAGTGGTTGTTTGAAGCATTTTTAGGTGCAATGGATGGAAAGCAACCTAAGACCATATTGACATATCAATCAGCTGCTATGGCGAAAACAATCGAAGAGGTATTTACTGAAACTCATCATCGTTTATGTGTTTGGCATATTTATCAAAATGCTGCTAAGCACTTGAGCCATGTGTTTCACAGATCCGACCAATTCGCTAGTGATTTTAGTTCGTGTATATATGATGGTGAAGATGAATGGCTTAAAGGTTGGGATGATATGCTTAACAAGTATGGTCTAGGGAACAATGAATGGTTGCATGGTATATTTTCAATAAAAGAGAAATGGGCTATGCTTTATGGACGCCATATGTTTACTGCTGATATGAAATGTAGACAACGTAGTGAATCAATGAACAGTGTGTTAAAGAAGTACCTGAAGCCGAAACACAATATGGCAAACTTTTTATTACCATTATAACAAGTTTGTACAAGATAGAAGGTACCAAGAACTGCTTGCAGAGTTCAAAATGAGGGATACCCGCCCTG